GGCCCTGGCCGGGGCAGCGGGTGAGCGCGGCGCGGAGGCGCCCGCTGGGCGACACCTGGCTCAGGAGCCTGCGAGGGGGCGGCGGTGAGGGGTGGCCCGCGCGTCCCCGCTGTGCCGCGGCCGCCCCGCGCCCTACTCATGGTGGATCTCGGCGCTGAGCGCGGCGCGCTCCACGGAGAGGGTCCCGGTGGGTGCCAGGCGCACGCTGTAGCGGCGGCTGAAGCGCAGGAGCCGCCGGCGCTGCGGGTCGGGCTGGCTGCACTCTGGGGAGGGGCAGGAGCGCAGGGCAGGGCACTGTGGGGCTGGGCACCGTGGGGCCGGGCAGTGCCACCCCGCGAGCCCCCTGACTCACCCGTGTAGAGCGGGAAGGTGCCGTCGCCCGCAGCGGCCCCCACGGCCGCGTAGGTCACCGAGGGGAAGCGGCTGAGCTCACGGTAGCGAGCGGCCACGGCGCCCAGGCTGCCCGGCGGCTGCGTGCGGGAGCGGCGGCGCTGGCACCAGGGGGACGAGCCACCCCGCACCCACCGCGGCGCCGGTGCCGTGCCCGCGTGGGGCCCTACCTCAGCGCCCACCTCGCGCCCCGAGGCCATGGGCGCCGCTGTGTCCGTCGCGCTGGGCCCGCCGAGCGGCGCCTTGGCCGCTGGGGCTGGGCAGGGCGCCAGGCTGCGCGCGTGGCACCGGGGCGGGGAGACGTGCAGGGCCGCCCGCTGGGCCCCGGCCAGGCCGCCAGCTGCCGCCGGACAGGCGGGCGGGAGGAACCACCCGCGCTGGGCGCCAGACGTGCCCCGCCACAGCCCCTCGGGGGAAAGGGGCCTGGGCACTGCCCGCCCCACCCATTAGCACCCCATGGGCAGAGGCGACACGGGGAGCCCACGATCCCCACGGTCCTTTTCCGACCCTAACGACTCTGCGGTGCCACCGGCGGCGCCCCGAGAGACGACACGAGAGACGAGGCGGGCGCCGGCCGAGCGTTTATTGGGGAGGGCGGCGGCGGCCTCAGCACCGCAGGTGCTCGAGCAGCCACAGCGCGATGTTCACGAAGCCGTCGGCCTCGGCCTCGACGCCGGCCAGCGCGTGCCCGTTGCCCGGGTACCAGAGCAGCCTGCGGGGCGAGGGGAGGGCGGTGAGCGGCGCGGGCGCGCGCGGCGCCGGCCAGCCCACCCCGCACTCACCGCGTGGGGACGCCGCGGGCCTTGAGCGCCCGGTAATACTCCAGGCCCTGCTTGGGGGGCACGCGCTGGTCGTCCTCGCCCAGCAGCAGCAGCACGGGCACGCGGACCTGCGGCAGAGCCCAGCGGCCTCAGCGCCCTGCGGTCTCGGCGCCCCGCGGTCTCAACCACGACCGTGACGGCACCTACCCGGTCGACGTAGCGGATGGGCGAGCGGCGCAGCATCTCTGCCCACTGCTCCGGGTCCGGCAGCGCCTCGGGCGCGTAGGGCAGCCCTAACTCTGTCAGGCACCTGCGGGGCCAGAGCCGTGCGGGGCCGGGGGCTGCAGCGGGGGCAGCCGCCGGGCCCCGGCGCGGGGCACTCACCAGTCGGGGATGTCGGTGGTGGTGACCATGGCGGCGATGTTCACCACGGGGTTGCGCACCACGCACACCCGGTAGGTGTCCGGGAACTGCCCGATGAGGTGGCACGCCAGGAAGCCGCCGTGCGAGCCGCCCAGCAGCGCCACGCGGCTCGGGTCGAGCGGCTCCTCCTGCAGCACCCGCTCCACGCAGAGCTGCAACGGGACACGGGGGCCCGCGAGCGCCGCGCGCCGGGGCGGTACCTGCACGTCCTGCACGTCCTGCGTGCCCACGTTGCCCAGCAGGGAGGCCACGCTGTCCTGGCCGAAGCCCAGCGAGCCGCGGTAATTCACTGCGGGACACGGCGCCGCGTCCCTTGCTGCTCCCGCCGCCCCGGGCGGCACCCAGCCCTGCCGGGGCGCCGCGCCGGGCACCTCAGCGCCCGCCACCTCGGAGCCAGGCACCTTGAAGGCACAACTCACCGAGGAGCACGGCGAAGCCCATGCAGCAGAGCACGGCCGGGTAGAGCATCCAGCTGGCCACGAAGACCGAGTGGGGCCCCCCTAGGAGGCAAGGGCTGAGCGGGTGAGGCGGCGGGGGGCACGCGCGGCGGGCGGCACGCACGGCGGGGCGCCGCACCGGGCGCTCACCATGGGGCATGACGACGAGCGGAGCCTTGCGGTCGGCGCCGGCCTCACTCGGTCGCAGGAGGATGGCGTCGAAGTCGAGGCCGCCTGTGGAGGCGCCGGGGGGAACGTGAGGCCGAGCGTGGCGACGCTGCCCGCCCGCGCCGCCCGCCGCTCACCGTACTGCGCGTGGTCCTGCGCCGGCGGCGGGCGCAGCGTGCGCACGGCCCAGGCGATGCCGGGCACCGGCGCCGCGTCCTGCAGGCAGATCCAGCGCACCTGGGCCTCCCGGCCGGCGCCGGGCAGCAGCGCCACGTTCTGCGCGGGCGACCCCGTCAGCGCCGCGGCCGCAGCGGGCCGCGCCGCCGGTGACGGGCACAGCGCCTTACCAGCTTGGGGGGGCAGCTTGGGGTGGAGAAGCTGGCCACCAAGATGTCCCTGTCGATGGTGAGGAGCGACCAGCTGCCCTGCGGGGCATCTGGGGAGGGAGGCGGTGAGGGCGCCCGCCGGCCGCGCGCGGGGGTGAAGGAGCCCCCGTCACTGCCCGCCCGGCGGGGAGGTGGCACTGACCAGCCGTCAGCGACGTCACCGCGCCCGTCTGCGTGTCCACCACGAAGAGGTCCTAGGAGCACGGGGCAGAACGGCGCCCTGAAGCAGCCCCAGTGCCGGGCACGGTGCTCCCGGGCACCCCCGGGGGCCACCTCGTGCACCTGGGCACAGCACCCCCGGGTGCCACCCTGTGCACCCTGCACAGGGCCCATCCTGGTGCCACCCTGCGCGCCCAGGCGAGACACCCTGTGGTGCCCCCCTGCATGCCTGGGCATGGGGCACCCCAGTGCCACCCTGTGCACTCGGGCATGGCCCCCCGCGGTGCCACCCCGCGCCCCTACCTGCTGGCTGCGCTGCACCGTGTCCAGCAGGAGCCTCCGGCTGTCGGCGGCCCAGCACAGCCCCGGCAGGGCGCTGCAGTAGATGCCCGGGAAGGCGCCTGCGACGCGAGCGCCGGGGCTCAGCCCGGCCCCAGGGCGCTGCCCGCGCCGCCCCGCCGCGCGCGCGGGACCCCGACTCACCCGCCGCCGCCCGCGGCACGGCCTCGAGCACGGTGCGCGTGCGCCCGGTGTACCAGTCGTACTGCGGGGGACACGGCGCCGCCGTGAGGCACCGCCCGCCCGCGCGGCGAGGGGGCTGCCCCCCGCGACGCCCCCCGTGCCCGCGGTGCCGCTCACCACGCACAGCCGGCTGCACTGCTGGTGGGGACCCAGGGCGCTGTTCTGCAGGTAGGCGACGCGGCAGCGGTCAGGGCTGAGGCGCGGCGACCACGTGGCCTGGGTGTCATCGGAGAGCAGCTCTGGCGGGCGAGGGGGGCACAGTGACGGGGTGCCAGGGTGGCCGGCGCGGCGCCGGGCGCGGGGACGGCAACTCACCGCACTTGCCGCCCGCCAGGTCCACGTAGAAGAGCGCGGAGCTGCGAGGGGCGAGAGGGCCGTGAGGGCGGCGCCGGGGCCCGGGGGCCGCCCCGGCGCCGCCGCGCTCACCGGCGGTTGGTGCAGTGCCGCAGGCCCAGGCGGAAGGGCTCGTGCCACCAGCCCACGAACACCACGCCCGTGTCCTCGGGCGCCCAGAAGGCCTGCGGGCAGAGCGGGAGGGCAGCCGGGGTGCCGGCGGCGCCCATCACCCTGCCGCGCAACGCGGGGCACGCGGCGCTCACCTGCCCGGGGGACACGTGCTCGGGGACGCCCTCGAGCACCGAGACGCTGCTGCCCTCCACGTCGAGCACGCAGAGCACGGGGGTGCTGCGCCCGCCCAGCGTCTCGCCCCAGCCCTCGCGGTACACGAACTGCTCGCCCTGCACGGAGCCAGCGATGCCGCGGGCGCGCGCGGGGTGGGACCCCGGGCACGGCCCCCGGCGCCCCCAAACCTTGGCGGGCGCCTCCTGCTTCTGGGGGCCGCCCAGCTCCTCGGCCGCTTTGCTCTGGAAGAAGGACTCGCCCTTGGGCCGCTTCTTCTCGGCCACGTAGAGCAGGTGGGTCTCCGAGTGCGACCAGGCCAGGCAGCCGAAGGGCTCTGCGGAGCGGGCGTCAGGCGCGGGGGCCGCGGCGCCCTCCCCGTCCCCGTCCCCATCCCCGTCCCCGTCCCTGTTCACTCCCCACCGTCATCATAGACGCCGCCGTGCTTGTCGAGCGCCGTCAGGTCGATGCTCTTCACCTTGCGGTTCTGGTCCCACACCTGGGGGGCAGGCGCAGTGGGGCAGCGCCCAGGCGCAGCGCGGGGATGGGGGCACGAGGGGCCCCCCCTGGACCCTCCTCCTCCTCCTCCGCTCACCTCCAGGAACTGCTTCTCGTCATCCCTGGCGCGCGCCTTGCGCAGCACGGCCTTGAGCGCGCCGCTCGGGGCCTCCCTGCTGAGCAGCCTGCGGGGGGACGGCGCCGCGTGAGCGCCGGGGACGCCGGGGGGACACGCGGGCGACGCCACCGCGGGCACTCACTCGTCCTTGAGCTCGGAGCAGGCGCCCGCGGGCCCCGCGAACGCCACGGAGCTGCCGTCGTGGAAGAGCAGGAACTGGCGGCAGAACTTGACGCTCTCGGCGCGCGCCAGGTCCCGCTGCGACCAGGCTGCGCGGAGGGCGACGTGTCCCCGCGTGTCCCCGCGCGTCCCCGCGCGTCCCCGCGCGCCCCCGCGGCGCCCGTACCCGTGTAGAGGCTGCAGTACTTGCCCCCGTACTGCGTGGTGAGGTCGGGGCCGACGCAGGCGCCGCTCAGCGCCGGGTGCTGGCTCAGCTGCCGGTAGAGCGAGGCGGCGGCGCCCGCCTGCGGGACACGCGGGCGCCCCAGGGCATGGCACCCGTGGGATATGGCACCCATGGGACATGGCACCCATGGGATATGGCACCCATGGGATATGGCACCCATGGGATATGGCACTCATGGGACACAGGGCTGAGGGTACCCCTGGGACGTAGCACCCATGGGACACGGGGCTGGGGGTACCCACAGGACTTGGCACCCTGAAGACATGGCACCCATGGGACACGGCGCTAGGGGCACCCCCCCTCAGGATGCGGCACCCCCAGGACGCGGCACCCATGGGACACAGGGTTGTGGGCGCTCCCGGGACATGGCACGCACAGGGCGCAGCACCCACGGGAGGCGGCACCTATGGGACGTGGCACCCATGGGATACAGGGTTGGGGGTACCCCCAGGACACGGCACCCCCAAGACATGGCACCCTGGGACAAGGCACCTCTGGGACGTGGCACCCATGGGACCCAGGGCTGTGGGCACCCCCAGGACATGGCCCCCACGAGACACAGCACCCATGGGACACGGCACCCCCGGGACACGGCACCCGTGGGACACGGGGTTGGGGGCGATGCCGGCGGGGGCAGGGGGTGCTCCCGGGACCCCCCGTGTTCGGGCCCGGCTGGGGGCGGATCCCGGGGCACGGGGGGGGGGCCCGGGCCGCAGTTACGGGGTACGGGGGGGGCGGGGGGCGGGACCCGGCGCGCTGACGTCACGCGCCCCCTCCGCAGCCCCTCACCGACGGCTCCATGGCTCGCGGACTGGGGGCACGGAGGGAGGGGGCGGCGCGGCCACTTCCGGAGCGGGAGGAGGGGGGAGGCGCGGCGGGGCGCGCCCTGCCATTGGCCGCGGCGCGGCGGGCGACGCCCCCCATTGGCCGCGGCGGGCTGCACCTCCTATTAGCAGCGGCGCCTCCTTATTGGCTGTGGCGCGGCGGGCGGCGCCTCCCATTGGCCGCGGCGGGCGGCGCCTCCTATTGGCCAGGGCGCTGCCGACGGCGCCTCCCATTGGCCGCGGCGCGGCAGGCGGCGCCCCCTGGCGGCCGCGGGCGGCGCCGCCGCGNCCGCCGCGGGGTCCAGGGTCCCCCCCGTGTCCCCGGGGACCCCCGGGCAGCCCCGCTCGGTGGGGCCGCCCCCCGTCCCCGTCCCCCTCGCCCCGGGCCCAGGCAGCGGAGGCGGCGGCGCGGTTCATATCGAGTCCCTTTTATTCTGTTTCCCACAGAAACGACCCGGTGGGTGGGGGGCAGCGCGTGGTACGGAGTCACGACGAGAGCGGCGGGCGGCGAGGGGGCGGCACAGGGCACAGCGGACACGCACACCGTCACGAGGGTGGGAGCGGGGCGGGGGTGCCCGCCGGGGCACCGGAGCCCGGGGGCGATGGCGGCGCGAACGGAAAAGCGCCGGCGAGGGGGCCGGCGAGCGCGGCGCGGCCGCTGGAAGCGTGCGGAGGAGCGGCAAGCCATGCGGCGGGGCGGAGCGGCCCGCGGGCGGCCGGGCGCTCCTCGCGGGTCGGGGTCGGGAGGCGGCTTCGTTGCATAGACCGTCGGGCACGGCGGCGCCGGGGCATGCGGCGGGACGAGGCGGGCAGCGGGCCGAGGACGGCGCCCGGGGCGCCTGTACACGGGCTGGAGGCGGCTCCGGCGGGACGGGCTGGCTCCCCGGGGGGCTCCTCCGGGGCGGAGGGGCCTCTCCTCGTGGCGGGGCGGGTGCGCGCCCCCGCGGAATGGCTTCGAGAAGGGACGTGGATTGCACAGTCGGAGATGCCGAGCCCGCCCGGGCTCGTGCTCGGGAAGGGGGTTGTGCTCTTTTGGCAGCCTCCTGCGCTCTATTGCTTGGGCGGACGGCGGCCCGTCGCGCCACCCCATCGTACGGAGCAAGGGGGAAAGGGAAACGAAAAGAAATTAATAAAAACGGAACGGAAACTCGAAGCGAAACTCAGGAAAGCCGGAGGAACGGGAGAGGAGCGAAAAGGAGCCCCACCGCGCTCGCCACCGAAGCCCCGTGCCCCCCTCCCGGTGCGGATGAGGTATACGCAGAAATCAACGTGGGAAGGATTAAGGCCGTTCTTCGAAGCGAAAATAAATAAAATAAATAAACAAATAAATAAATAAATAAATAAATAAAAACTCAAAAGAGGATCCCCAGGCGGCCTGGAGCACTGTGTGCCGGTACGATGGAAAGCACTGCCGTGCGGATGCTTCCGAATGGCTTCAGGTTGGCTTCGCGTGCCGAGACACGGGCCTGGCCGGCGTCTGCGTTGGGAGAGGCCCGCGCGCTCGGGCGCTGCCTCCCGGAGTCCTATGGCCTCTTATCTCAGGAATGAAACAGTGTTAGGTCCTAACTGAAGGGCTCCGGAGCCCCCGGGTCGGGGCCGGAGCGGGTGCCAGTGCAGGGGGCGGCACGGGGGGGCCCGACCCCGCGCGCGGGCGTGCGCGCGCCGGGGTCCGGGGTGGGGACAAACTGGAATGTGAAGGAGAAACGGAGCCGGCAGCTCCCAGCCCTCGACTCGCACGTGGCTCTGGGCGGGGAAAAACCTATGAAGACGCCGGAGTTCGGACGGAGAGGGAGCAACTCTGCGTATAATCTTGAGAAAGGTTGCCGACTCGGCCCCTTGGCGCTGGTCCGGCCAGGGGGGTGCCCTTATGTGACTTGGGGCGTCGGGCCTGGCTCCGAGGCGGCGTCGGCGCGGTGCCCGGCGTGGAGCGCGGCGGCTCCGGCTGCTCCGGCAGGCGCCCGCTCTGGCCGCCGTTTGCTCCGTGCGGTGCAGCGTCCAGGGATCGCCCTGCTTTCCGAAGCTTGGCGGGAGAGAGGAGCGTCAGCCGCGGTGCCCGCCGCCGTGCCCAGGGGCCGCCTGGCTCCTCCGGCCCCAAATTACCGCCCCCGTCGCGTCCTTCCTTGAGAAGCCCGCGGGCAACGCGGCCCCTCTTGCGGCAGCGGTGCAGGAGGAGCAGCCGCCTCCACCTCGGCGGCTGGACAAGCTCCCAGAACCCGTGCGCCCCAGAGAGCGGCCCGAGCCCCCCAACCACCCCCATGTCTGCAGTGGGATGAGCCCCCCGCTCGCTGGCTCTGGTGCCGAGGACCGGGCACGAGGACGGGCGCCCCAGGGCGGCGGGGAACGGGGTGTCCCGGCTCCCGCGGGGTCCTGCTGCTGCCTTCCTTCCCCACGGCGCGAGCTGCGCTCCCGGGGTGCCGGCGAACGGCGCCTGCTGCCACCCCGAGGACGGCGGGATGGGAAAGAGCTGGCGGCATGGGAACGTGGCCGGGCACCGGGGGGAACGCCGGGGCGCGGGGGACCCCACAGGCCCCCGGGACACTCACGGTTATACTCAGAGTCCAGCGCCGCGAGCCGAAGCCCCTGGGTTCTTCATAGGTTTTTCCCCCTTGCAATGAGTAGATCTCCCCGCGCTTGCCAAGCTCCTGCGGCGGGAGCAGCCGTGAGGGCGGAGCGGGCGCCCGGGGCGCCCCCCCGTGCCCGGGGACCCCCCTCCGGAGCCCGGCGGGGACCACGGGGCCACTCACCTCGCGCCGTTCTCTCACCAGAACGAAGTGAACTTCTTGCCGAAAGCCGACACCGCTGCGGAGGAGAAGCCACGCGGTGGGTGAGCGCTCCGGGGGGAGCCCGTCACCCCCTACCCCACCATCCAGCAACCCGGCCCTCCCAAACGGGCACCGGGCTGCGGCCGTCCTGCCAAGAGCCCGTCACTTCCCAACAGGCTCCGGAGCAGAGGGGGGGATCCGGAGCCGTCTGTCCCGCGGGATTTCCTGGCTGCTCCCACCTTCTCCCCATGCGGAGTGTGGGGGGCTCAGCCCCGCTTACCTTCGGTGAGTTTGCCTGCTTGCTCCGCTGCGCCTCCGGGCAGGATTTTGGAGAAGACGCTCTCCCCTTCGGCGCCGGGCTGCCCGGCCGCCGCGCCGGCCGCGGCCCGCGGCCCTGCCGCCTTCTGCCCAGCCCTGCTCTCTGCCGGGGGGACAGGCGGAGGAGCCGTCAGCAGAGGCAAGGGCCGGGGTGGCACCGAGCGGGCGCCCGCGGCTGCCCCGGGCCGGGCGCACTGACCTGCTGCGGCTCCGAGCGGCGGCGCCGCCGACGTCCTCGCCTGCGGCGGCCCCTTCGCCGCGGCCTTGCCGGCGTCCGCGGGCTCCGCTTTGAGCTGCAAGGCAAAGGAGGCGTCCGAGGGTCCCTTCCTCTCCTCGGGCGCGGCGCAGCCCCCTCGCCCCCGTTTCCACGGGGTGGAAACGTCCCCTCCCCAAAACACCCTGGGGAAAGTGGCCCCAAGCTGGTGAGTATGGGGGGGACCCGGTCCTGCCGTCTCCCCGGGGTGCATCACGCTGCGGGCCACGCGTGCGGGCTGTGACCTGCCCACACGGTCCCCACGCCAAAGTCACCCCTTGCTGCCCCGGCACTTCCTCGGGCTTTGCTCAAGAGCGGAGTGGGGAATAGTGGCCCTGGATGGGCCACGGCGCGGGCGCACGGATCCTGGGCGAGCTCCATCCCCGCCGCACAACCCCATCCCTTCAGGTACGGAGCCGGTCCCCAGGAGTGGAGGCCGAGCCCGCACTCACCGGCATCGCTTGGTGGCCTCCCTGTTGCGCGTGGAGCGCGGCCGGCGCCTTCCCGGGAGGCTGCGCCGGGCCGGGCTGCTGCTGCTGCTGCTGCGCTGGCCGGGAGGAAGGCGGCCCCTGTGCCCGGGCACCCTTGGCCTCCGGC